TGCATGTATTATTTTCTACTTCAAGTTTTTTTTTAATTGCTATTACAAAAAGTACTGTAGTGAACAACTTTGTACTTATGTATTTTTGCCAGCAGATAGTAGAGCTACATCTCTGGCATCCTATATTTTTAAAAAGAAAATAAGATTATTGCTCATATTGAAGTTGACATACAGAGAGATCTAGCACTCCTTTCTCCCCCTTTAGGACAAAAGGATAGCTTTTTTTTTTTCTTTCTTTATAATCATAGCCCTTTGAGAGCCAGAGTTATTGGTTCTTGGCATTATTTTGGGGGGACACAAGCTCCTTATGTCAAGCATCTGAAAAGATATAAAAACAGTGTCTGGATTGATGAGTTAAGAGTTGATCTCCTTCACTTACTCATTCTTCATAGTTTTATGAAAAATTTTAGGTTTGGGAGATGGAAATAAAAGTGATAAATACAAATAACTCTTGCCTTCTTGAACCCTACCAGCTAATAAGGACTTGTTTGGTTTATGTGCTACCAGAATGGCAACTGCATTTTGTCATGATTGTCTTTCACTTTTTCTGGGAGGAGTTATGTTCTATGACCGTATTGCTTGGAATCTCTTTCTTCACCCCTTTTATACTACTGATTATTTTGTAATTGATGATCGTCACTGTACAAGTTTTAAGGTTTTTTTTGTTAGCTCCTTTGCTTTTCTGATGAGTGTCTTTCAGAATTAAGTGGCTTTAAAATGCAACTCCAAGGCAGATGAGTAGCATTGTTGTGGACTTAAAAATCTTTTTAATAGAAAAGATATATTCAAGGACAGGGTCTGAGTACACAGGAAAGTTGGATGCAGTTTTGTAAATCATAAGCAAAATTGTTATTCTGTTACTTGTTTAAACAGATGTTGTGGCACAGAGGAGAGAACATTGAACTTGAGTTATATTTGATAACTTTGAAACTGTTCACATTGTGTTCATTAAGTCTCAATATCCTCTTCTGTAAAAATGAGGAGAATATGCATCTCACAGAGTGACTGTAAGAATTAACTAAACAAATGAGTAGAAGTGCTCTTAGTTTGGCAGTTAGTACCTATTAAATCTGTTATATTTCAAAATTTGTCAGTTATATTTAAATTTCTAAGAATTAATCATTATAGTATTTTATTCAACTATTGAGCCTAACGATTAGATTTTTTAATTATATTCTTTTTATTATACTATTTTAAAGGAATTATATTTTACACAGTATTGCAAACCATTCCCATAAACATTGTGATGAGGGTGAAATGTTATTTGGCCATTGAGGAGCTCTCCAGCAATATTAATATTACATTTATTTAACGTATTTTGTCCTGTTCTCTGTGGATTGCAAAAAGATTTTTTGCTAAGTTAAAAACATTGTTAAAGCAAAACAAACATAATAATGAAGCAGTTATAGTACAGTGCTAATAAAAACCATGAAGAATTACATTTTAAAAGTAAATTAAATTAGGCTTAGATAAAACATTAAACATTTTGGGAAAGAAGTAGTATTTCCTTATTCAGGCAAGATAAAAGACATATTTGAGAAACATGATTTGAGGGAAAATGACAGGTAGCAGTTAAGAAAAAATATTAATCTAGCTAATGGCTATCTTGAAAAGTTAGAAGTAGAAAAAAGAACCTTGAGTTTGATGTTTTCCTTAATTCATAGTCACTGGAGCGTAGGAATCATAGAACTGATGTAACCACACAGATACTTAGGATTCTCTCAGTCTGCCTTCAATACTAATTAAAATTCTTACAATGACAGGGTCACAGTGCTAAAACAGGCCTTGGTTTTCATTTTCTTTTTTCTCACACACAGCAAATAAGTATAGTAAGAATATACATTCCAAGTTAGAACTTTCAAACTTCCAACTTTTAAATTGGCATACTGGCTGTCAATTTAATGTTCAATTTTATGCTTAAAGGAGGATATTTCTTCATTCAGTGTCTATCTTTGATCAAACTATCCAGAAATCTCTGATAGAACTATTTGAAACTTTGGGGTTTTTTTTCCCTTGGTGACTTGTAAAACTTTTTTTAAACTTTTTATTTTAAAGATGTGGGGTACAATTCAGGGTTAAGTCTACAAATGTTCATTATGCAGGTACCCTTGTTGATGATGTGTGCCCCCCTCCCCTGGCAGTTTCCCACTACTGCCAATCCCTTTTTTATAGTATTATAATTGCTCAAGGTCTGCTTATGAGTGAGAACATGTGGTACTCAGTTCTTTGTTTCTGTGATAGATCACTAGTATTATAGACTCAAAGTCCATCCAAGTTACTCTGAAGTTCACTAGTATTATAGACTCTAAGTCCATCTAAGTTACTGTGAAGTTCATAATTTTGTCCTTCTTTATGGCTGTGTAATATTCTATCATGTATATGTACATTTTTTAAAAATTCAGTCCTCTTTTGATGGACATCATGGTTGGCTCCATGTTTTTGCTATTGTGAACAATGCTGCAGTAAACATACGTGTGCAGGTATCTTTTTCATAGAGTGATTGAGTTTCTCCAGGTATATTCCCAGTAGGGGTGTTGCGAGGTCGATTTTTAGATCTTTTAGGAATCGCCAAACTGTTTTCCACAGAGGTTGTATTCATTTACACTCCCACCAACAGTGTAGAAGTGTTCCCTTTTCCCCACATCCTTTCCAGCATCTGCTGGTTTTGAGTTATTGATATTGACCATCCTGATGGAGTTAGGTGGTATCTCAGTGTAGTTTTAATTTGCATTTATTTGATGACTAGTGAGGCTGAGCTTTTCTTCATATATCTGTTGGCTGTTTACATGTGTTCTTTTGAGAAATGCCTATACATACCTTTTGCCCACTTTGTAATAGGACTGTTTGTTTTTTTTTTCTTTTCAGCACGTTTGAGTTCCTTGATATGCAGTTGGCAAATATTTTTTCCCAGTCTGTGTGCTGTCTCCCTGCTCTCTTGATGGTTTCTTTGTCTTTGCAGAAGCTTGTCAGTTTGATGAGGTTCCACTTGTCTATTTTATCTCTTATGGCATGGGCATTTTGGATTTTAATCAGGAATTGTTTATGATTGGATTTTTGTAACTTTAATAATAATATGGCAAAATTTAAAAATCATTATTAAAAAAGGAGCACTAATGCCACTACAGATTATTGTATATGTGATATTGGGAAAGTTACTTAATCTCTCTGGTTCTTAGTTACTTTATATTTAAAATGGTAAAATAGTATTTATTACATAAGGTTATTATATTTACGGACTAAGTGAAATAATACATGTAAAGTACCTGACATGTGGTAAGTTGTTTTTCTTGTTTCTATTTTTACTATCTTTCTAGTATAGAAAGCCTCTCAGCCTTCTTATAAATACACTTTTACAAAGTAAAACAACAATAAAAATATATGTAATGGCGTATTTCATTTTTTATCTCAAACTTTTCAAGATAAAGAAACTTTTCAAGCGAGTAAAGATAGAGTAGATCTTTCAGATGAAAGAATACGGCAAAAAGACATCTTAGAATTTACCTCATTTACACTCTTAAGTAGTTTTACAAAGAAAACTTTGTTTTTGTTGATTCTTGCTGACCCAGTCATTAGTACCCTGACACAGTTATTAAAATCTCTTTTGTAGTAAAGTTATGCCTGTGAACTCAATTCCTTATAGGAGATCAATTTTTTAGTGGTAATAAGTTAATAAGCTCTTTAAGTAAGCTCTAGGACTTGGAGATTGATTCCATGAACAATAACATAATAATAGAATTGCAAAGCTTTTTTAAAAAAGGTTATGTGGATACCTAAATGCCTTAATTTAACTTTACCGGCAAAATGCTGACCTTATTAAATATCTTATCTATATATTTTGCGTCATGCTTCATTTTAAAGAAGGTTTAAACTTTTCCAGCAATAGTTAAAATTAACATTAAAGACATACATTCAACTGTCTATGGTTTTCACCATGCCTCTTTGAAAGAAAGTAGTTTTCATGTTAAATTTAATTATTTCAAGCCTTAGAATTAGCTTATAAAGATGGTGTCAGTGCTTCATCTGACCTTTTACTATCTTTTTGTTGTTTTGTTTTTACCAAGATATTTGTTATCTTTGGTTTGAATCATTTCAAAAATTCTATCCATGATGTAACTTTGGGGTAGAAGTAAGAAGGTAAATAGTCAGAAAAGTTTAAAAGTAAACCAGAACACTGACCTTGAGATAAACAGAGGTTTAAAATATACTCTTTTTTTTTCATAAAGTTTATATCTTCTTCAGTCATGAGTCTGATTCTTTCTTTCCTGCAGAGCAATTTCTCAGTGTATCTTTGTTGATAATAAAATTGAAAAAATCTTTTTTGAGGTGTTATCAATAGTCAGCTAGGCATCTATTTGTAAATGGAATTTTAAAGTGTATTTACTTCTAAAGGATATTAACAGGAAGAATAGTGATGCTACAACTGATGTCTTGATATGTCATCGATGATAGGTCTTCTCAGTCCACCTGTGAGTGTTCCTAGACCTTTATACCAATATTCTTGGAGACTGACTTCTCAGAAAAATATGATCCTAAAGATGACATTGAAAGTACTTTTATATTAAGAAGCATGATATACTAGAAGGAATATTGAACTTAAAAATAGGAACATCTGGCTTTTGATCCAAAGTTGTTACTTATTAGTCACGTGATTTGGAATCCTCTCTGAGCTTTTCATATCAGTGTTTTAAATAAAAAGCCCATCTTAGCAGACTTGTAGTATGAAATGTTAGTAAAATAAAAGGTTGTAAAGCTTTATCTTTTAAGTTATTGAAGGATGGTGCATGTATTACGCATGGTTAATGACACTTTTAGTTAGCTAATTCATATAGAAATAGCTAGTTAGTATTAAAATGGCATGAACCTGTTAAAAGAAGATTGAGTGCTGACAATCCACAACATTTCACCTCTTCTTTTCTGAGAATTTGTTACCTTATTTACTGCTTAAGGATTGTGATTTTGGAGGATAGGAAATTTCAATTAATTTTTACTGTTTATTTCAGTTGTATATGTATCAGCTGTTCCGAAGCTTAGCCTATATTCATTCCTTTGGAATCTGCCATCGGGATATTAAACCACAGAACCTCTTGCTGGATCCTGATACAGCTGTCTTAAAACTCTGTGACTTTGGAAGGTAAGCTACCCTTCTTACCCCTTTCTTCCCTTCTCTTTTCCTCAGCTTTCCCCCTGCTCCCCTATAATCCTTACAGAGTAAACTAGTAGCTCCTTGTAAGGATAGTTTGGTTAATTTCTCTCAGAATTATAAATGCGTATATTCTTTCATTCAGCAATTTAACTTCTAGGAATTCTTTCCTTAGAAACAAACACATTTACAAAATAGTGTATATATTGGAATTTTTATCAGCATTGTTTATAAATAACCATTATTAGGAAAATGACCAAATACATTATGGCATATACAAATATAATGTAATACAGGCAGCCATGAAAAAGGACAAGGCAGATCTCTATGAACTGAAAGGGAATGATCTCTAGAAAGTATTAAATGAAAAAAGCAAGATCAAAACTATGTATGTTACCTTTTATGTTTTAAAAAACTCATAAAGTATAACTATATATGTATACACAAGCACATGCATGGCTTATTTCTGAAATGATAAATAATCATCCCATAACAATGATTGCTCTGGGAAGGGAAACTTTGGGAATATAGAATAGGTAGGAAACCTTTTTCATTGATTATACTTTAGAACTGTTTGAATTTATATTATGTGTATATACTCCTTTTTTAGTAAGAACCAAGTTTTTAAAAATACTGATTATTATACATCATTGTGTATCTTTTTAACTTGAAGATTAACCTCAATTTAGGGATGTAAGTGATCTACTAGTAGTGTTTTCTTCCTTTTCCTCTATAATTTTTTCTTTATTCCTCCTTCTTTTCTGCAAATTCCAGCACACTTTCTGCATTTTAAATTTTGTTCTTTGGTAATATGCCGTGAGTTGGTAGTAAAACTTTTCCATTGGGCTGGGCTCGGTGGCTCAGCCTGTAATCCCAGCACTTTGGGAGGCCAAGGCGAGAGGATTGCCTGAGCCCGCTGGTTCGAGACCTGCCTGGGTAACTTGGCGAGAACTCATCTCCAAGTAAATTAAAAAAAAACTAGCCGTGTGTGGTAGCGCATGCCTGTAGTTCTGGCTACTTGGAAGGCTGAGGCGGAAGGATCGCCAGAGCCCAGCAGGTTGAGGCTACGGTGGCCGGGAGCGGGCCACTGCACTCCAGTCTGGGCGACAGAGTGAGACTCCAACTCAAAAAAAAAAAAAAAAAAAAAAGCTTTTCCATCCATAGTTTTTGAAAGTATCTTGTGCTTGTTTTTTTTTCTCATATGCATAATTTTATTTTAAACATAACAAATTATTTAGAAAATGAATTTGTTATATATTGTGTGCTAACTCCAAGGGACATTTTCTTCTTTTTTTTTTAGTTTTATTTATTCATTATTTATTTAGTTTAAATGATCTTGTATTTCATTGTAATTTTATTTGTATTTAATTTTTTTCTTTTTTAATTTTTATTTTAAATATGGGTGCAATTTCTTGTGCTTCTTTAATCTAACCTTTCAACATGCAGCCAAACCTGTATTTCCATATAATTCAGGAAATTACCCTGCTACTACCTCTAAGAGAGGTTATCTGGAGTAATCTCTCTCCTTTCAGTTCCTTTGACAGCTGATGTAGATAACTTGAATTCTCTCCAATATAGTTTTTTTTCCGTCCTTGTCATAACTTATTTTTCCACTTACAACTTATTTTTCGACTTACCTCTATAGGTTACACAATAACCCACATTTGCTGATATCTGTATTCTTACCTCTTTATAATGCTTTCACATCAATCCATAGTTTACATTTTAGGTTTAAAATAGAATTTTTCCACAGGCTTCTTTTGAGTGAGATCTTTAAAAAAAAAAAAAAGGCAAATTCTCTCTTTCATGCATTAATTCTTCTTAATCTTTGCACTATGTCCTCTTTCAGACATAGCATTTTATGGTTCGATTTCAGACACCTATCACAGGGTCCGACACACTTTGCGGGCTAGGACTCTGTCTCCTGAACTATAAGAAAAGGATGGAAGATACTAAATCAAAACTCATTTGGTACTTGAAAACAAAGCAATACTACTTACTTTAGGAAAAACTGTCAGAATTAGATGAGTTCTGTTGTTATGGGTTGTTTTCCCTATAGTGAGTGAGACTGGTAGGGACTGTAAAAAGTCTGTGACATCAAGATTACTAGTTTTGTTCTCACCATGGTGTCAAAGCATTGTTGGGATAGCCCATTCTCTTGGAACATGAAATAGCTTTATTCTGATATATTTGGAAGAAGTATATCACTTGTATGCTATTCACTCATTTTTGGAAACCCTCTGATTACAAGGCTGCTTTTTTTTTTTTTAACAAAATTGACTTGGGCAAATTGGGTTTGGGAGATACTCTGGACTCTTAGATACTAGTTTGGTGATGTCTTAAACAAGACAGTACTACTCTCTTCTCTTCTCAGTAATTCTTTACTGTATGAAACTAGACCTGGAAGTAGCTAAAGGACTAATTGGATTGTTTAAGGGACTAAGGTAGGGAGTTAGGACAAGCCTCATCTGTAAGAAAAAGAATGTATCTCCATCAAATAGTAGAGAAAAAGCTACAGAATACAAAGCTTTCAGTAGTAACATTTTTGTCTTGTGGTGAATTTTCTCAATATAATTGGAATTTGTCTTATTAATTAAAAAATGACCTTTAGAAGATACAAAGGTCTTTTATCAATTGTACTGAAAACTAAGTGTCTTAATTTTCATGCAGCCTAAAAACAGAGATTAATATTTAATAATTTATGAAATGGTTGTGTGTCTGTATTTGGGAGAGTGTTTTAAAAGGAAAATTAGAATAAGAAAACGTGCAATTAAATTTATCATAATGGAGTTAGAATCATAGGCTGTGAATCATTTCTGTCCTAAGGTTGAAGGCCTGTCTCTTTTTGAAATGTATTTGGTAATGAATGTTTAGACAGATAATAAAATGACCAAAATGTGGAAAAATAAAGTCAATTGGGACTATAAGCCTTCACCTTGAGTCAGAAGATGAATTGTAAGACAGTGGCCCATTTCTCACCTTCTTTAACAAAACACATTGGGAGAGGAGTATTCATTCTTATATTATAATTTATTATCATACTTTTTGGGGGAGGTACCTCTTATTTTTCTACCCTTTGTATTTTAGAGGTGGAATTTGGGAAACAGAAGAAATTCATCACTTATCCTTTGGTGACTTTTTGTCACTTTTTTCTTAGGTGACAGTTGGTAAATGCTTTCTTTAAAAACTCCTGTTCATTTTGCAAAGCAAGGTGTTAAATTGTAAATTCATTTGTTCATAGATAGTTCATATTTTCTTTTTCATATGTTACATGATGGAGTGATATAAATCTTAGATAAACATTTGATACTGTGCAGGATAGAAGTCTAGATTATTTTAAGTTTTAGATTTAAAGAATTTCTGCTTTTTTTTTTTTCTATTAGTGCAAAGCAGCTGGTCCGAGGGGAGCCCAATGTTTCGTATATCTGTTCTCGGTACTATAGGGCACCAGAGTTGATCTTTGGAGCCACTGATTATACCTCTAGTATAGGTAAGTATTGAATCTGAATATAATGCTTATAATTATTAATTGTATCTTAATTTTAATAATTTTGTATTAATAATCTGAACTTTCACTTCAGTTGAAAGATGGATATATCTTACAGTATGTTTTTTCATAAAGACTGAAATGCAGACATGTATAGGCATTTCTTGTTTTATTGCGCTTTGCAGGTATTGCTTCTTTTTGTTTTGTTTTGTTTTCTCAAATTGAAGGTTTGTGGAAACCCTGGACCAAAGCAAGTCTGTTGGCACCATTTTTCCAAGAGCATGTGCTCACTTCATGTCTCTGTGTCATATTTTAGTAATTCTTACAATATTGCATGCTTTTTATTATATTTATATCTACTATGGTATTTGTGATCAGTGGTCTTTGATGCTAGTATTGTGAATATTTTGGGATGCCATGAACCATGCCCACATAAGATGGCAAACTGAATTGATCAGTGTTGTGTATATTCTGACTGCTCTGCCAACCACATTCCCTGTCTCTCTCCCTCTACTCAGGTTTCCCTATTAACTCACCCACAACTATATTGAAATTAGACCAATTAATAACCCCCACAATAGACTCTTAAAGTATTCAAGTGAAAGGAAGAGTCACACATCTCTCACTTTAAATCAAAAGCTGAAATGAGGAAGACAACATCAAAAATTGAGACTGGCCAAAAGCAAGGTGACTTGTGCCAGACAGCCAAGTTGTGACTGCAAAGGAAAAGTTCCTGAAAGAAATTAAAATGCTATTCCAGTGAGCAGACGAATGATAAGAATGGGAAACAGCCTTTTGGCTGGTATGGGGAAAGTTTTGGTTGTTTGGATAGATCCAGTCAGCCACAACATTCTTTAAGCCATAACTTAATCCAGAGCAAGGTCTGGACTCTCTTCAATTCTTTGACGTCTGAGAGAGGTGAGGAAACTACAGAAGAAAAATCTGAAGCTAGCAGAGGTTGTTTTGTGAGGTTTAAGGAAAGGAACCATACTATATAAGTCCAAGGTAACCAGCAAGTGCCCATGTAGAAGCTGAAGCTGAAAGAAGTGATCTAGAAAATCTAGCCAAGATCATTGATAAAAGTGGCTACACTAAACCTCAGATTTTCAAGGGAGATCAGGCAGGCAACCTTACTGTATTGGAAGAAGATGCCATCTGGGACTTTCATCTGTAGGGGATGGAGAAGTCATTGCCTTGTTTCAAAGCTTCAAAGGACAGACTGACTCTCTTGTTAGAAGCTAATACAGCTAATGCTCACATTTACCATTCTGAAAATCCTTGGTCCCTTAAAAATGCTAAATCTACTCTGCTGTGCTCTAGACATGGAACAACAAAGCGTGGATGACAGAACATCTGTTTACAGTAAATTTAGTAAATTACTAAATATTTAAAACCCATTGTTGAGACCTACTGTTCAAAAAAGAAAAACCAAAAAAATTTATTTCCATAACATTACTGCTCACTGACCATGCACCTGGTCACCCAAGAGCTCTGAGGGAGATATACAAGGAGATTAACGTTTTCATGTCTGCTAACACAGCATCCATTCTGTAACCCATAGATCAAAGAACAGTTTTGACTTTCAAGTCTTACTATTTAAGGGATACATTTCATAATGCCGTAGCTTCCATAGATAGTGATTTCTCTGATGGATCTGGGCAGTCAATTATAAATCTTTTGGAAAGGTTTTGACATTCTAGATGCCATTAAGAACATTAGTGATCCGTGGGTCAACATATCAACATTAACTGGAGTTTGGAAGAAGTTAACCCTCTGGATGACTTTGAAGGGTTCAATACTTTAGTGGAGAAAATCACTACAGATATGGTGGAAATAACAAGAAAATTAGAAGTGGAGCTTTAAAATGTGACTGAATTGCTGTACTCCCATGCTCAAACTTGAACAGATATTGAATTGCTTCTTATGGATGAGCAAAAAAAGTGGTTTCTTGAGATGGAAACCACTTCTTCTGGGGAAGATACTGTGAATATTGTTGGAATGACAACAAAGAATGTAGAATATTACTTAATCTTAGTTGATAAAGCAGGAGTAGGGTTTGAGAGGATTGACTCCAATTTTGAAAGTTCTTTTGTTGGTAAAATACTGTCAAACAGCATCATATGCAACAGAAAAACATTTTGTGAAAGGAGGAGTTGATTGATGGGTCAAACTTCATGGTTGTCTTATTTTAGTTATTTTAAAATTAATGGATATATATTATTTATAATGTATATCTATTTTTAGATATAATGCTATTACATACTTAACAGACCACAGAATAGTGTGACCATATGCACTGGGACACCAAAAATTTTGTATAACTTGCTTTATTGTGATATTTGCCTTATTGGGATGGTCTAGAACCACACTTGCAATATCTCTGAGCTATGCCTATATAGAATTTTTCAAATTTTGCCTTTTAGAAATAGAGATATACTTTGTATTCTATTTTTAGCTCTATGATTATAGAGATAATTATACAGCTAATACATTTGTTTTTATCTTAATGTTTTAAATGAATTCTAAGCATACTTTTTTTTTTACTTTCTTATTTAAAATCCTCCTGAAATACTTCTGAGCTTGCTTACCAGTTGGATAATTTATTAGCATTATTTCATTAAGTTAATAATGAAAGTAATAGGATGACTATATTGTTGACATTCGTTTTATGTGATCCTAGTTATTTAATATCAAATCAATTTAAATCTTTAGTAGTTTTGCCAAACCCTTTGATTCTTTAGAAGTCTTCATCCAAGATGTTTGGTGATAGAAGGAATTGAATAATCTTCACTGACCTTTCTATTCCATTTTAACTCACTAGCTGGAAGTGCACAGAGGAACAGAGAGAGCATGATCAGTTGGGCATGAACAGGCAGCTAAGAAACAAAGCAATCTTAGGCTGGATGTGTTCATGGAAATCAAAATTATTTTACCCCTGTATATTGTTTCTGAAGATAATTATTTAGTCAAAGAACAGATATAAAAGCATTCAAATAATGAACAAATGAACCACAAAAACCTCAGTAATATAAACTAAAAAAAACAAAACCAGAACTTGGGACAGTTTTCATCTTTTTAATACAGTAACAATTCTCTGATGTGAGCAAACACCCCTGATTAGAAGTACATTACCCTTTTAATTTTGCCAAAGGGCAAATGCCAAAGAACATTTTGATTTATGCCAAGGAATCACAGTTTTACCCTTTTTTTTTTGGTACCCATCACTGCAAATTTTAACACAGTGAAAAAGGCATATTCTTATGAAAATAATGTTGCTCTCCAGGACCTCTGAAAATGTCTTGAGGACTCAGGTCTCTGTAGACCATACTTTGAGACTTACTGTACTAGGGAATAGAGAGTAGAATGTGTATTTATGTATGTAATCTTCAAAGTTTCATCATGATTATGGTGTGTGGCATATATTAATGGAAAGATTAGAAATAATACGAAGAAAATTTTACTTGTAGTCAACCTGGGTTTGGGGACCAGGTTACTACTGGAGTAAAGTGGAGATTACCCACAGTTCTTCCTACCTTTCTAAGTAGCTGTAAGGATTAAATAAAATGTTAGTGAAAGTATTATAGAAATGTAAGGTAGTATTCTTTTTGAGTTATTTCTTAATTCGATTATCCTCAAGAGCAAATTTCACCCATTTGTCTTTGGGAATGTCATTGGATTTCTAGCTGCTTTATATTTTAGTTTAAGTATGATACTGATTATCTGTTTTCCAGATATTAGGGCGAGTTGTGCCAGGAACACCTAAAATAAAGACAGACTGATTCTCTAAAAAAGTCATAACCATATCATCTGACACATCAAGAAATGTTTCTGTAAGCTGAGGTCTTTTGAGCCTCAGGAAGCCTAGATTTGGCCTCCCTTTTAGACTTAGGTTACTTGCCTCTTAAGGCTTTGTAGTATTTGTAAATAGACTCCCCCCAAAAAAAAATTATATGGAAGTGTACTAATATAGGATGTAGGTACACTTTTGAAATTTTTAACAATAACATTTGAAATGAAAGAGTAGCTGGTTATTATTACTAGATTTTTATCATGTGCAGATATCATCAGAGCTAACGCTAATGACTCTGATTATATTATCTTACTGCGAAATGACAGGATGAGAACAAAAGAACAAGAGATTGAACTTAAAGACCCTTGAGGAAGTTGTTATTCTGAGTTAGTGAGAAAGTTACTCGAGATAGTGGTGTCTCAACTGGGAATTGAGAATGAATTCCAGGCACACCTCTGCTGTTCAGTAGCTTTACCTTGAACAAGTTATTTAACTTTATCGTGCCTTGATTTCCTTTTCTGTGAAGTAAGTGTATTGAATTACATGGTCTTGAAAGATTGCTTTGCCATGAATTAGATTTAAATATGAAATAGTACCATTTTGGTCTAAACATCAACTAACTAAAATTCTGTGGTCGCTAATTTTTCATTTGTACTTCCTGTTTAGCTGAACTTAATTCTGTTTGGAGAATTTTATTCATTTGTCCTGTTAAGTAACAGCAGAAGAGATTTTGTTATCTTCCAGAAAGTGAATGATAATGCCTTGTTTTTAGTAATTTGCTTTAACGTGAATTGAAGACCACTCGTTTAGTTAGCACTTGAATATTTGAGTATTAATTTTCTGATAACTGCTCGGTAAGAGTATTCCTTGATGGTTTTACTTTTTGTGTTCCATATTTATTTACAGTAAGCTAAATCTTGCCTAAGAAAGTGTTTTTCATTTTTATGAAGGCATCATTATTCCCTTGCAATTTTTTCAAACTTGGTCTCTGAGATGAATTGTTTTTTATTATAGAGAGAAAACAGTAAGTACATATTGCCTTTTATCTTATTAGCTAGATAAAGGGATATTTTAAAACTCAGATCAGAATAAAGTATTTACATTAATAAGGAGACATATTTTTTGCACTTGACTATAATAGTATTACTATTGGCTTTGAGTAAAGATTCCCTAGCAGGTTTTCATGTTTATTCATTTAACAATTTCCTAACATATCAAATAGGACTCTCTTGGTCTACATTTGCAGAACTGGTGTCTTGGTTATCAGTACTTGAGTTTCTTAAATGAATACTGCATCATTTTTCTAGGTCAGAAAAAGTAGTTCCTGAAACAGTTATTTCCCATCGCTGTGGATAGTATATCTCACCACATCGGTTCTCTTTAATTGTTTCTTGTCTCCATGCCATTCACTTTCTTCTCCTTCCATATTGGCAGGTGGTAAAGCCCACCAATGATTTATGTGCATCTCCCTAAATCACTTGAATATTGGTACATACAATATGCAGGAAAGGTGGAAACTGAAAAGCAGCCTTTTCTTTCAGGAAGTCTTAACAGTGGACTTTACATAGAGTGACCTTATAATTTATTTTCTAATCTGGTAATACTTTTGAGAAAGAAAGAGTATATTGTTAATAATTATCCCAGGACAATACCTAGAAACCATAACTATTTTGGGTAAGACAAAATGTAGGCATCAAATTATTTTTAAAGCGTAGTAATTAAATTACTTTTCATAATTTTCTCTCAAGATTTAGATATCTACCTTGACTAATGAGTAGATTATTTTTATAATTTATGAAAGAAAATAATATTTCTCTATCTTTGCCATACCTTTTCATTTAAAAATGATAATATATTTAACCCTCTGTACTTGGAGACAACTCACGGATCACCTCTCAGCAACCCAACCATGCTTTTTTATGAAACGGTAAAAAACAAATCACTTCATATTAAATAGTATAGCATTGAACCAGTTATTTTATTGTAATGATATTTGGCTTACAATGGAATTTTGGGCATTGAGGAACTTATTTATGACAAAAAAAATCAAAATTTTAGACGTTATTTTTTTTTAACCTGGTAACCTGTGAAACAGTCACCACCAACATGTATTGCCGGTTCATTGATACATGTTGTGCAGTAGTAATTTTTTTGAAGTCGTCCACCTGGTGTTTTTCTGTTCCACGGACAGTACAGTCTCATATTCTTCCTCTCACACTGAAATGTAATTTATTGTCCAGTCTGTGCACCACTGTGAAAGCACTTTGCACATTCTTTTTCTACGTAGCACCAGCTGAATTTTTTTTTTTTTTGCGTATATGTCAGTGTATATTCCATTTCTGTATTTGCTTTTTCGTGGAATTTGAATGGAAAACTTAAAGGAAACAAACGTTTTTGAAAAATGTATGCTGGCATAAGTTTGTCCTGTATAATCAGCAGCAATCTCTTTATGTCCCCTGAGAGGGAACATCCAGGTGGTTTGCTTGATTTACAATGTCCCCTCAGAGGAGACATCTGCATGCAAAGGGATAAGTACGTTTTTTAAAATCATTAATCTTAGAAAATAACAGTCAACCATTTAAAGTCTTAAAATTTTTCCTCAAAATTTGCATTAATTTAAAGCCCAGTGTCTGGGAAATTGAACTTTGCTTGCTTCTTCTCTGTAAGCATCTACTAATGTGCAGAGAATATGTCACTTTAGCTTAATTTTAAGTATGATAGATAGGTAGTCATGCTACAGCTTTGGTATTACAGTCCTCTGTCTTATTACTTGAATGCCTGGTGTTTGTTGGTAATAATGGACTTTAACCTTTATGAGAATATTTGAATACTTAATTTTTAAAAGCATTAAGTTTTATGACTTTTTTTTCTGTTTTGGATTATATAATGTTTTCCTTGAGATATATACTCTCTGATCAAAGCAAAATTAGAAAATGTATACACACATTTTTCAGTTCAAGCTATTAAGTACTAATAAACCTTTGTTTTCTTTTCAGATGTATGGTCTGCTGGCTGTGTGTTGGCTGAGCTGTTGCTAGGACAACCAATATTTCCAGGGGACAGTGGTGTGGATCAGTTGGTGGAAATAATCAAGGTGAGAAGGTTGAATCAGAATGTTTGAACTGGAAGGAAATCTGGTGCTATATTAATAATACATATCACACATAAGACCCTTAACAAATGAAAGAAATGATCCAAGATCACAAGCAGGTTCAGCTTGAGAGGTGGCAAAAGACCCCACCTAACCTTTTGGTTTCTAATTAAGTTGCTCTTCTGTTGTGTGATCCTGGAAAAGCCATTGTGCATGTCTGTTGCAAGAAAGAGATATAACTTATTTAAAGTACTTTAAAAGTAAAATTAGGCTATGCCCTCACTAAAATGTATATAAGCTGAATAAAAGCAGACACTATGTTTTTGCTCGCCATACACTCTGCTCTAGTACCTTGTGGAACACATGGGAGATACTTGTATTTATTCATTATTTATATTTATTCAACATTTATGAAATGAAAGAATGAATGCCTACATGTCTGCATGGACCATTGGTAGAAACAGAATTTTTACTTACGGGTTTAATTTTACTTATAGGGTCTGTCAGTACCTTTATTAACAATAGATCTAAAATATTATTATCTTAGAATTAATATTTTCTTTTAAGAATAGTAGAGCTGAGATTGTAATTTTGTTTTTAAATAGTTGTTTAAAGTTTTAATATTGGAGATCTTAAAGGAAGCCCCCACATATTTTTTTTTAAATGTAGTGTCTATATTTACACCACTAGATTGGCTAATTCTAAGGTTTCACTTTGGCCAAAGCAACTTGGGGGCTTTATGTGTGATTTCTCAAGTTTTTCATAGAATTGTAAAATAGAAAATCTCCTTAGAGGTCGTATTGTCTTATTCTTCATTCACTGAAAGAACATCTTAGTTACATTCCTGACAGATGGTTTTCCAGTGCTTTCTTGAATACTTCCAGCATCAGATTTCTACACTGGGATACAGCCCATTCTGTATTTGGACAGCTTGAATTTCATTTTTATTATGTTGAGCCTTAACTTCTAAGTAGGTTCTACCAGTTGAACCTGAGAGTTTCTTTTCAAATCCTTGTACTTCATTTTGTAAAAGTCTGGATTTTTTAAAAATCAGAGGTGATTTTGCTGTATGTCAGTGTGCACAAGTATGGTTGAAAAACCAGTGTGTGATCAGTGATCCTCCTTACTTTCCACATAATTTCTTACGCTTTGCAGCTAAGACTGCTATGGTATTCAGTCTTTTAAAAATAACCATCTTTCGGTTTCAGAATAAATCTTTAATCTCTGTTAACAGCACTACTTTCTTCCTGATTTTGTGCTACACTCAGATTGAAGTTGAATGATTTGTTGTCTGTTTCCTTAAAAACCCGTATACTCCCCATATTTAAATTAATATTCTCATGCTACTTGAGAACTCTCATGGTACTTGAGCTCACCGTGCTACAATTCTCTGGGCATATTGACATTCTTTTTGTCATTATGTTTAGCTCATTAGAACTGTATTGTATATACACTGATTTTATTTTAGAATTTTGTGATGATTTATTTTGTCATTAATTTATATGTGATAGAAATAAAATTGCCCAGAAAGCTAAATGAACATCTGTGATAATTCCATATCTCATGACTGCCAAAATATCTTGTAAACTGTAAGTCTAGAGCTTGTTTGCACCACTTTTGTCAGTCTTTGTTACTTCATTTTCTGCTAATATTGGTTTATGCTACCTGCTTAATAGATGTTAGAAACTGTCAGTTTGTTATTGATAATTTCAGACTTCATTTTCATTTAGGGCTTATTTATTGCAAATTGCTCCATAATTCATTTGTAGTAGTAGACCAACTCTGAAACAAAGCACTTGTCATTTGTATGTTATCTTGTCATCTTGCATTTATACTTAAGGAAAATAGTTATCACCTTACTTTAGTTCCAAGATCAATGTCTGTAAGATGTTTTGATGTTGATATAAGGTAATAGAATTAGAAGTGTTTCCAAGCATCCTAGGGTATTTCGGGTTATATGGTTTCTAGGTCCCTTTTACATTCTTGAGCATGCTGCCCGGGACAGATGGAATACTAGTAATAGTTTACCATGCAGTTAGTTACTATCCATTTACTGACCTAAAGTTACACATTGCATGGAGGTTAATAGACATTGTGTTTTGTGTGAGTGTGTAAGTTTAGTATAGTTTTAAAGCTTATTGCATGGAGGTTAATAAACATCCAAGGAGTTTCTTTTTTGTATGTTCAAAGTAGCTCTAAATCATGTTAGTCCTATTATTGTTAATATCTATTCCTTAAATGTTGAATATATGGGGGATCCCAAAAAACTGGAATTTATTTATAAAAAATTACGTATTTATTCTTACACGCTTAACCATTAGTCACTGTCAAAGTACTCTCCATTTGATGCAATACACCTTATTTTTTTTTTCAGAAGTGAGAAAGCAAGAGTTTATTAAGAAGACAAAAAAGCTCCCAAGCGAGAGGGGACCTGAAAGAGGGTTTTCCCACCTTTCTTTTTTCTTTTCATTTTTTTTTTTTTTGAATTGGAGTCTCACTCTGTCATCCAGGCTGGAGTGCAGTGGCACACTCATGGCTACCTCAGCCTTAGACCTGCTAGGCTCAGATGATCCTCCTGCCTTAGCCTTCCAAGTAGCTGGAACTACAGGTGCATGCCACCACACTCAACTAATTTTTTGATTTATTTTAGAGATGAGGTCTCGCCAAGTTGCCCAGGCTGATCTCAAACCTCTGGGCTTAGGCAATCCTCTCGTTTCTACCTCCCAAAGTACTAGGATTACAGGCATGAGCCACCGTGCCCAGGTGCATGCAACACACCTTTTAAGATGCTTTTTCCACTGCTCAACAGTTTTTGAACTCACCAATTTTGATGCCCTTTAGTGCTTCTGCTTTTTTTTTTGTTTTATTTCTTCCATATCGGCAGAACACTTCCCATTGAGGACCTTTTTCATCCAGAGGGAAAAAAAATCCATAGCAGATGAATAGGAAGGATGGGGCATATAGGGGTCCTGGCAGTTTTAACTGCTGAGCACTCAGCTCAGTGTAGGCAAGTGCACTCGTAAATCACCCATCATGAAATGGGTAAACACAGTAAAGGATCTCCAAAAAAAAATTCACTGAAGCCAAATGCAGTCTCATAACAATGCTAGCTGGTACACTGATGCCTAGAATACTTACTTGGTGGGGATAACCTGTACTAGAAAGGGCCCACCCTCCAAAAGATAATTCCAGGTTTGTTTTTGGATCCCCTTTTGTATACGAGGTTTCATTGAAATAAAAATTCATAACAAATGCTGATGTAACTGTTCCAGTTCTTCTGATCTAAGCTGGAAAAGAAAAGTTATTATGTGTGTTCGTTTTCAAAATTAAATGTCACTTAAGCAATTTATATTTCATTTTATTACTTTAATTTAATTAATTTATTTATCTGAGTTGGAGTCTCACTCTGTTGCCCAAGCTGGAGTGCAGTGTTACGCTTATGGCTACCCCAGCATAGACCCACTGGGTTCCAGTGATCCTTCCACCTCAGCCCTCCAAGTAGCTGACACTACAGGCACATACCATCACACCCGGCTAATTTTTTGATTTATGGTAGAGATGAGGTCTTGTCAAGTTGCCTAGGCTGTTCTCAGAACCTGTGGGCTCAGGCAATCCTAACCTCAGCCTCCTAAAGTGCTGGAATTACAGGCTTGAGCCACCACACCTGGCCTTTATTTTTATTTCTTTAGTTTTTTTGGAGTCTCGCTCTGGGTCTAGCTCTTTCACCTAGGCTGGAATGCAGTGGCATGATCATGGCTTACCATGACCTCAAACTTCTGGGTTCAAGCTCATCCTCCCGCCTCAGCCTCCTGAGTAGCTAGGGCTACAGGTGCATGCCACCACATCCAGCTAATTTTTTAAATTTTTGTAGAGGCAGGATCTCACTATGTTGCCTAGACTGGTCTCAAACTCCTGGACTCTAGTGATCCTCCCATCTCAGCTTCCCAAAGTGCTGCCATTACAGTGGTGAGCCACTTCACCTGGCTTAAGACATTTTATATTTTAAACTAATATTGTCATTTATTGTTCTAATAGGACTTCAAAATGGATTTGAATTTTTCATAAAGGTAATATTATGGATGACCAGTTTAGTTCTCATATTTTTTAAGGTAATAGTCTTGAGCCCTTAATTCTTACATAAATAGGAAATTCATGTTAAACTGTTCTTTTCTATTCTCTTCCCATTTCTCCCCTGAAAACCTCATGGGTGTTCTTCTAGAGTATCTGGGAGTAGCTGACCCCTCTCCCACTAAAACATACCCTTCTCTCTGAATTTGATTTTAAGAAAAAAATAAAAATGGGTACGTGTATAATAAACTTCATGAAGTTTTTTATGTGGTAGACTTACCTCATTATTTTTATAGACTTGCACCAAAATATTTTTATTAAAGATTTGAATTGAATTAAACTTCCAGAACCATTGTCCATTTATGAATTTGGAATTACCTGGGAATTCATAAGAAAAATGATGTGGTTATTGTATATGTTTTCTATTAAATTTTATTCACTCAGATTTCCATACCAGTAATTTACAGCATGAGTAAGACAGTTTAATTGAACTCTCTCATTCTAGCTAAAATTTTAAATCTCTCTTCCTGCCTTCTAATAAGAGGCCATTTGTAAAATATTTAGAATAAAATTCGGATACATTGTCTTCAGAATAAGTTAAAAATATAAGACAGAATGGAAAGTCATAAAAAATCATTTCTAAATATGAAAAACACCCAACTTTCTGAAGTTAATTTCATATACAGAATTATCAGATCAGCATTGTATTATTTCATTTGACCTCTACATATCAAAAAATTATTGGATTTTCACAGCATTTGTAAAAAGAGAAATTCTGTTAGAGGCTTTCCAGTTAATGTTTTTTCTTTAAATTATCCCCTTTTTTCCTTAAATTATCCCTTAATACAACACTAGTCATAATAACTTCAAGAAATATCTAATATGGTTCCAAATATATGGCAAAAAATAAAACATTTTGCAGAATCCTATACTCA